GTTCAAATCACTGGGTCTGCTTCTTTTCAAGAGGAAGATACCTCTTCAGATAATTTGGCTCACGCTTAAAACCTCCTGAATGTCGGTCTTTTAACTTAACAGAGAAAAAGGTGAGCACACATTATCAGGAGCTGGACTCTTGGCCATCTGTGACCAGTCAAACAGCTCTGGAGAAACACTGTATCATTAAACTTTTTCATTATTATTATTTAGCGGGGTTTTTTTACTTCACCAGTTTAAATCACCAGGGGTCTTATTTATAAAACAAAAAACAAAAATGGCGTGCACCAAAAAATATTCGACGATTTCTACAAGCGTCCACCTCACCATCTGCGTCACCAATTTCCCATCTCCAAAATGTTCGTAAGCATCAAAGTTTCTCCCATGAAGTCTGTTTTTATAGATCACAACAATTTTGCATGGGAAGCTATGGTGGGAAGTGGCGTACGCCTATTTCAGGCCTGGTTTTGTGCATATGCAACGTTTATAACAAGGCACACTGAAGGAGTCCTAACTGGGAGAAATTGACTGTAATGACGGCACTGCTCTGTCTTTTGTTACTGTTTTGATTTAGACCCCTAGCATTAGTCAGTCATAGCGTTGAGGTTGTAGAGCATTTTATCCAATTTTAAAATTTGCTTATCTTTCAAATCTATAATCAAATTAGTTTTCAACAATTCTAGGGAACAAAAGTCAGATTACATGTTTTTTCTGTTATATTAAGATCCACAATTCAAAGAAAAAAAATACATTGTAAGTTTTCCAGATACATATTAGTTAAATGACTCATCTGATGATAGTTTTGTGTATTATAAACAAACAGGAAATAAAAGACTTAACAAGCTGAACTAACTGCTGATATAAAACTGCTATCAGAGCATACACAACACTTTCGATCATTTATCAAACAAGCAAAAAATACCAAACATTTGGTTCTTGAATCTGATAATTGGCTTTAGAATATATTTAAATGTCGGGCTGTTGTTGGACAAAACAAGCTATCTGAAGACGTCACCTTGGACTATTCACAACATACTCATTTTATTCCCAAGGTAACTTAATATACCATCGTAGTTTGTAGTGACAGGACAGGAGTGGTCAAACAATTGCAGCATAATATACCTGTGACCACACACACACATGCACGCACACACACACGCACACGCTGCAGAATGTGAGCTTATTCAGGTCTTTGCTATAATAAAGCCCCTAATCTGCCCATACACGCCATGAATGGAGACATTCCTCCAGCCTTACTCAACCACACACACACTCACACACAGATCCAGACACACACACACACACACACACACACACACACACACACACACTTGGGCCTACCTACACTATAGCAGTACACAAATTTAAACCCTAAACTTTGCAGTTTTCTGTCAAACTGATTGAACGCAATCAGTGAAAACTCGGTCAAATCCATCTCTGACATGTAACAACCAGGAAACGCGACCCCTGAGCGGGTGAGATGTGACCCCGTGTCCCCCCACCGCTGACCTACAGTGTCACAGTAATAGGAAACACAAAGCCGGGGGACTCTGATTGGTTCAGCTGGACGTGAACAGGAGGAGGGGCTGGTCGGAGGGAAAAGCAGGGAGAGGGGAATTCCCAGAGATGAAGGGATACGCAAATACAGACAGAGACACACACACGCACACACACACACACACACACACACACACACACACACACAAAGATAATTTCCACAGACGCTTTAACTGCCATCAGCAGAAATGAAACAGCCTGACGCAGTGGAGGCATCAAACTAAATATCAAAATAAATTTATTTTGATTAGACCAAGGACGAGTTTTTCTCTCGTGTAATGCAATCTATAACTGATTAGACTAAAATATAGCTCTGTGTGTGTGTGTGTGTGTGTGTGATGTGCTGAAATGACTTTGTAACTGGGTTCTGTCTGACTCGCTAATCCCTCCCTCCCCCATGTCTCTCCCCACTGTTTTCACACACACAGCTGTTTCCTGTTGAATGTGTGTGTGTTTAAGAGAGAGATGGAGGGAGGAAGAGGGACGCATTTTCAAACTATTGTTGGGAATCATACATGTAAAGAAGTATACCAAAACTAAAGTTTCAGTTTTACCCAGTTTACACACCTAACAGCACAGAAAACCATTGTGTAAATCACGCCGCTGTGCTTCAGAGAACCAAGTGTACCTCTGCTGCTGCTTGAGGACGCCTACTGGTTTCCATTATTTTCCAACAAGTACTGAAATCAATTAACAGCCTCTTAAAACTTTGTTGAGCTGTGTTATCCATTACAGTGAAGATCAGACATTACCACTGAACAACAGTGAAGCAGTGATAGAAACGAACGCAGACTTGATGTCTCAAGTTTCAAGCATCCGCTAATTGATTCTTCATACTGAACAGAAATGAAAGGAAACTGCTGCTTGCAACAGCTAAACTGTGCAGCATGTATTCAGAAACAATCTGCAAAAAACCTTATGTACATGTGATATACAGGTCTTGGCTGGTATGTTCCACCAACTGAAAGAAGATTAGAAACATGTTTGATTTTTATGACTGGAATCAGGAATGTCTGCATCATGTGCTGGGAGAGAACTTCATGTTAGGACACAAAAATTCATGTTCTCGAGGGGATTTCAGAGGCTGCCGTCTGATGCAACTTCAAACTTTCATCCAGTTTGTTGTACACTTCTCGTTCGAGATGTGCTTGTTTCTGATTTTAAAGACTTTTAAACATCTGTGTACGTTGCTGAAAAAAGTTATCACAGTGTGGGATGTAGTGGTGAAGGTAACTCAGTAGATTTGCTTTACTTTACTTGAATATTTCAGTTTTATGCTTCTACTCCACTACATTTCAAAGCGAAAGGGTATTGTGCTTTTTACTTCACTACATATATTTGATATAGTTACAGATTCAGATACAAAACACCAACGCGTTGGTGTTTTTAATGACTCTTGCCCATTAAATAAAGGCTTTTTAATTTTTCCAAACCGACCTGGTTGCCTGGACTTTGATTCTTTATGCCTTCTGATTTTTTAACCCTTCCATGAGCACCGGTGGTTTGAGGGACACCAGCAGCACTCCTGTTATCCTTTTTTTCTAGTCGCTAACTTTGTCTGCCTGCTATTTGGTGTGGGACATGTAGGGCACAGTGGGTTTATCAGAGCTTTTCCATGAAAAGCAACTGTTGCTGCTGGAAACAAGTTTGATGAGAGCAAAGTTTGTAGGTCAGAAAAACAAAAATAATGCACTAAAAGACAGGAAGAGAGAGGGAAACTATAGAGTCACATGTAGCTTTGTAACTACAAGAGAGACTTTCCAAATTAGAAGCTTATGTGGTTAATTTATTGTCTTCCTACAAAGCAGGGTTGCACAACAACTAAATGGGAGTTGTAGTCCCTTCATGCTACACACACACACACACACACACACACAGGAAAAACAGTCATTTGATCCGTTGTTTATATAAAAGTATTGATTAGTGCAGCTTTAATGTGAGTTTATAGGACTCACCACATCAGTACACCAAATGTGATTATGAGACAACGCCCTGATAAACTCATGGATCATATAAACCCAATGATCTACTTATTATCCCGTTATGTCACTTGAGTCACTTTAGTTCAGAGACTGTGCTGTCGGTCGAGCCTGTCCATTGAAGGAGCCTCTCAAATCACAAAGGCTTTCATTTATGAAACAGAAGTACAACACAAAACTGGGCACACGGTCGATTCCACACAAAGCTCGGCATTTATCAGAGTGGACATTAGGGAAGGCTACGATCAAATCTCATGTCAAGTCTCAGCTTGTGTACGCAAGTTTGAGTCAGTGTGGACTTAGAGTGCAGCGTGGTAAATCAGGCTGAGGTGGAGAATTGTAATTAGACCATACTCTGACTGTCATCTAAGTATCTGCAGCCACATTTTAATCACCTTAAAAATGTATAGTCACTGCCTGGCTTTGTGGGACTGGCTCCAGGTTGTCGTGCCTGGCTCTATGTGAAACTTTTCTTTTTTTAAAAAAAAAATCACTGACAAACCAAAGCATGTTTATATCATTTATCATTAAAACATAATTAAATAGAAATAAATAAACCCTGCAACAGGAGCCTAAGTGATTAAATTTGTATCAGTGTCTGGGTCAGACACGCATCTCTGTCTCTTCCACTAGCTGTTATTCCCCGAATTGAAGCAGACCTGATATGCGTGGCCACACGCTCCTCGAGTTGGGTCAATTATAATCTTTTATATGAATATTATAACAATATTAATATTATGTAATATATAGGCTATATCATTACTATATGTAGGTCAAGGTTCCAACCTCAAGTTTAGCTGTCCACTGCAACGCTGTTGACCGTAGCAATGATTTCTTTCCATACTGCATTTTTCCGACCTCCTTTGATGCCACTTTTCAGGCAGCCAGATAAATCCAGTTGGTTAAACTGGAGCTGGGACATCAGCATTTCCATTTCTAGCTCCGAGAAGTCTTTCCTCTTGGCCGTATTATGCCTCTTGATGTTGTAAACTCTCAGGGCGAGGCCTCTAAACGGAGAGTATATCGGGGCGGGATATGTTCATGAAGATTGTTTTCATCAGCCACATTTATCAACACCTGATCATTCCTGCGCTGCGATGGTGAGATAAGAACGTTTCATGGATCACACGCAAACCCTGTCATTAGATGATTATAACTCTCAGATCTGGGTTTGTTTGTAGGATAAATTGATAAGAGTATGCCACAAATATGATAATGATGCTGACATGATGATGTTTGGTCATATGGTTTCTGTCATCTGTATCTGATTGGGGAGAAGGCATCGACTGATGTATTATTAAATCAATAAGCACGATATGACAGCTTCCATTGAATGTGAAATAAATAAAGAAGAAATACAAGAACTGAAATTGTTGTAATAATCAGATAAAGTGCTGTAATTTGATTATTTGGGTCTTTTAAGTTGGGGAGTTGCCTGATGTTTTTTTCCTCCTCTTTCTACAGAGTGAGTCAGTCAAATACTTCCTGGATAACTTGGATCGTATTGGTCAACTGGTGAGTCACAGCGACTTGTTAAATCTCATGTGCTTTTTGGATTTCTTCACCTCTTTCACCTTTGTAAGAACACATTGTATCTTCTCTTTTTCAGAACTTCATCCCGAGCAAGCAGGACATTTTGTTCGCGAGGAAGGCGACAAAAGGCATCGTCGAGCACGACTTTATCATCAAGAAGATTCCTTTCAAGATGGTTGACGTCGGAGGGCAGAGGTCCCAGAGGCAGAAGTGGTTTCAGTGTTTCGACGGGATCACGTCAATACTCTTCATGGTGTCATCGTCCGAGTATGATCAGGTAACCTCCAGGCACATTTCTGATCACGTTGCGCTGATGTTAGTCAGACAGTGATCATTAATCTCCTGATTCTTAGAATTACAAAATGGATGAAAAATCATCAGAGAGACATTTGAGATCTACACAAAGCTCTCTTTGTGGTTGGCTGATGAAACTTGATTGTTCCCTCAGTCATGGCTCCGGTTCAAATCAACAGTCATATGATGACGACTGAATCCGTAGTTCGTGCTCAGATAAAACCTGAAATAACCAAAGTGTGTGTGTGTGTGTGTATGTGTGTGATTGCAGGTCTTGATGGAGGATCGAAGGACAAACCGTCTGGTGGAGAGCATGAATATCTTTGAGACGATCGTCAACAACAAGCTCTTCCTCAACGTGTCCATCATCCTCTTCCTCAACAAAACAGACCTGCTGGTGGAAAAGATTCGCACGGTGGACATCCGCAAGAACTTTCCCGAGTTCAGAGGAGACCCGTGCAGGCTAGAGGACGTACAGGTACAAACAAACATACACACACACACACACACACACCAAAAACACAAAGGTTTTCATTGTTGTCACGGTTGTGAGGCAACAAACTTATTCCTCCTGCAAGTTGTTTTGTCGTTCTGCTCCTAATTTTCCTCCTGCTGTTCATAAGCCCAGTGTGCTTTCATACACACACACACCAATATCATGTGAATCAATGTACAATTTTACATACACAGGCTGTCGGTCAGTGCATTTACATGCACAAATGAAATTACATTAAACCAAACAAAGACAGCAACTGTGTGCTCAGTTGGGTGCCCTACCACAAAAATATAAATCAGTTAAAAGTGGAAAAGTGTAGCACAGTACTGAAGCAAACAATCCCTGTAGGATTCACAGTTTATTACATTATCATTGCTGACCTGTTTCAGCCATAGAAATCTCTCTGCGATAGATTTTTGGGATTACCACCTCCTCTGATGAGACCTCCTTTTGCAAAGCCAATAAAACAAAGGATGTTTTGGATTAACAGGCTCAGCATCATGGTCATAATGAAAGCTTTACTTTCACACCATTTTTACAATGATAATTGAATCTTGATGCATGATACAGCGGCAGTATTCTTCTTCTTGTATTCATGTCCGCTTCATTACTAGACTATGATTTCATAGAGTTACCAAGCTGGGTTTTCTGTTTTCTTCCCCTTTACTTGCTCCTTGTGGCCCTCTGAGAGTTTACACCCCAGATCCGTTGCACACCTGTGTTAATGAGGTCATTGCCTTGACTGTCATTTATATAACTGTTTTGCGGTTAACACTATTCATGCTCTGAGGTAGGATTGTGGAAAAGTGTCAGTGTGATATTTTAATAAAATGTGCAGCTCCAGGGTGCCCATTAGCTCAGCTGGTAGAGCAGGCGCCCCACGTATAAAGGGTTTATCCTTGCCACAGCGGCCATGGGCTTGATTCCAACCTACGGCCCTTTGCGGCATGTTGCCCCCCGCCCCCCCCTTTCCCTCCCTACCTTTCACGGTAACAACTGCCCTGTCAGTTAAAGGCAAAAAAACCCTTTTTCTATTATTGAGAAAACCAGGTTACACAAGAAATCGCTGCGCAGAAGGAAGCGTGCATTAGTTAACATTACATCTCAGCTGAGGGGGACACTATTAATGTTTTAAATCTCATGCTGTCACAAACACCTGACTCTCATCCATGAGTAGATGCATGCTTCCTTTATCACAGTGATACGGTTGGCGGGTGTAGTTCAGTAGAGAGACAACATGCAAGTGCTCACACGAAAGTCTGTGGATTATCTTGAGTAACCAGGTCATGATTTCTGGAAAGAGACATTGCTGCTGAAGTTTACACAAGCATCTTTTTGGCGCTTTGAGCACCACAAGCCAAGTGCCATTTAGTTCCATTATATCAGCGTGAAGGCAGACATCTTTACGGCTGTATTTTTTATTTTTGGGTGAACTATCCCTTTAAATGGAGTGTGTTTGGGAAGAGTTGACAGCGCAGTGAGAAGAGAAAAGACAGTCTGCAGTGAGGGAGCACACTGCTTTTCCTTTCAGCATAAATGTGTCTGAATTTTACAAATATTCCAGTGTTCAGTTCTGGAAACTTACTTGGATATTATCATTTATTTGAATTGAAATATTTTGAATATGAGGATGTATATACTTTTAATAATCTTTTCCTTTGATCCTTCCACCCCTCAGTGATTCTTTCTCTGTCTGATGTCTTTGTCATGTAAAAAGCAGATTAGAAACCTGGTTACCCGGTCAACAGATCGATTCTCATTTACATGATGTTAAAAAAATCTGCTCACTGTTGAAAACTGACTGTAACCCTGCTCTGCTCTCTCCAGGCGTTCCTGGTGCAGTCGTTCAGCCGTAAGAGGAGAAACCGGGGAAAGCCGCTCTTCCACCACTTCACCACTGCGGTAGACACAGAAAATATCCGCTTTGTCTTTCACGCCGTCAAGGACACCATCCTGCAGGAAAACCTCAAAGATATCATGCTACAGTGACCTTCACGCTGCAGACGACGGCTTCTCTGACTGTAAACTGTGAAACCGGCCATGAATCCAGGCGTGGAGGACGCCACAGCCCACAAATGCATATTAACACTGACCTGTGGAGCAGTCGGTTGATCCCACAGAGTGGATTTAACTGAACTCTGAACCTTTGGAGCCCTGAATTAACTCTGGATCATGTCGGCCCCCTGTGGAAACTGTGAGGGTCACCGAGGACAAGACCCTGCATTTAACCTGTATAAATGTGTGTGTGCTGGAAAGACAGTCACCTCCTTGTAGCGCTCAAGTGTTGTCGCCTTCATACACAGGTTAGAAAATGTTTATAAAAAGAAAAAAAAAAAATAGAGAAAAGCACCAACTACATGACATGAGCACTGAAAGTGTTTTTTTTCTCAGATGTATAAATGACTAATGACAACCCTGTCACTAAACCTAAAAGTAAGACTGCTGCTGGTTGAAATATAGACGGATCAAGCTGTGCGAGCAAGACGCAGGAGGGGAAGAAGGAAAGATTAAGGAAGACAGAAAGTTAGGAGCAGGCTGAAGAATGTCTTGTCCTCATGTCCACGTGACGGAGGGAGAGGGGAGAGGGTTTGGGCTCATACTGGTCATATGCTGTGTTATGTGATAAGGTTGCACAAGTGTTCCTGTCAATGAACTTTAACAGAGGGAAGAGGCTCTCTCGTGCTCCCTGTCCTCTCCTGTGCTGCCTTTCTCTCCATCTTTACCTCTCCTCCTCGGCTCGTGTTTATTACTCCCGCCATCATACGAGAGATGAACAGCTGCAGATAACAAGTCTTACCCCTCTCCTCCTGGAACTCTCCTCTCAGGCACAATAGACAGATTGTTCTCCTCTTCCCTCTCCAGCAGAAACAGTACACAGTCAAATTAGAGACTCTTCTTGGTTTAAAGACACTCAGCTCCTGGTCTGCATGAATTATGGTTCATCTCTATCCTAAAGCCTTTCTTCTATTTCCCGCCAACATCCCAGAAGAAGTACCACAATAGCCTCGACTTAACTTGAGGCGTATAATAAGCACCCCTTAACAAGGAGGGTTTGGTGTAAGGTTACTTGTTCCTTTGTCCTGTAAAAGTGATGGGAACAGCAGAGGATGACAGGGTTGTTGAACTGTGAATCACCTTATTCCCATGTTGCTGGTGGCCATTTTGGACTTCTGTAGCAGACAGGGTGGGATGTCTACCTAGAATATTGGCACAAAACAAGTTAAACAAATCAGATTGAACAAAAATAGCAGACGATACTAGGGCTACCCCCTTAAAGTTGAAGATTCAAATCATCAGTCGGAGACCCCTCAGTCGACTGAGATTCTTCAGGTCTGTTTTTTTGTCAGTCAATGTTTAGTGTACTTCTGGGGATGCTCTCGGGTACAGGAAGCTACAGACCCAGACCCACAGTGAGTCTAAGAGAGACGGAAGCAGCTGCCCGGAGGAGGAGAGGCTTTGCCCGGTCAGGCTCTGAGATAACTTTATCTTCTACCTTCTGCTTAAAGGTGGTGATTTTACAGCTCACACCAACTTAACACAACATAGTCTTGGGCTTTTGTTTGATGTCAAGTGGTGGCGAAATTTGTTGCTGCACATTTCAGATCCATCGTTAGTGGATTTGCCCTGCATTTGCTTGGACGGCTAACTTGGCTTGTTTACTATATTATAAGAACATCACTTCTACCCTGAACGTCTCGCCAACCCCGTTCAAACATTACCAAGTCCGGTATTTTCTACATCAGGACACCTCTGTGTCTTTAATCACATTAATACCAAGTTAAAACCATAGAAACACATCATCATCCATTTTTATAAAGTTGTTTTATTCTCAGTTAACCACTGATTAGGTCTAATGTTGCAACAGTTATTTCAGGGTTCAATTATCCATCCCGCAACTCAAACTACACAAAGAACTCATGGACCAACAAAAACCTCCCAATTTAGAGAGGGGACACAGAATGATACAAAGCGACACACACTAAAAAACAACAACAAAAGAACCCTGACTTTGTTTAATGTGAAAGGGGTCCTATAGTGATGTGAGCCCACAGGGAATCATCACCCGACTCTGCAGTTCCCCTCAACTCCACAGTTTTACAATTTAGCATCTTTCAGCTCATTGTTTTACAGCCAGAAACTTGGTTCACACAAAAACAGGCAACTTTACTCTTTACTCTCCCTGTCCAGCACCAAACAGCAGACAGAGGAAGCTAGCAGCTTACTGATGTGTTGGTGAAGATTCTCAGTCATCGAGGTCACAGTAATTCTAAGTGCTATATCATCTGCAACCAGACTCGCTTTTGAAGACATTTCACCTCTCATCCAAGAGGCTTCAGAACTGAAGAAGCATCTTGAATGGGAGGTGAAATGTCTACAAGAAACTCAAGCAAGTCCCATTGCCCACTATATACACTTATAACAGCTAACTGATGAACACATTGGAGCATCTAGCAGCTAAACAGACAGATATTTCCCTCAGGAGTTGGTCGAGACCAAACCAGAGCTAAAAGGGGAGTGAATATTAGTATTTCATTCATCAGTGGACCAGACACAAGACTGATGGATGCATTTATAAGAAACTGTTTTCTAATAAGTTGGTTATATTAACTTCAAAAGGTGATAATTCACTCAGTGGCCACTTTATTAGGTACACCTGGTGTTTTCAGCACCGTGTTGAATCAATACCAGCAAGAAGTCAGGCTAATCTGGGGCCCAGTATTAAAAAGGTGTACCTAATAAAGTGGCTACTGAGTGGATGTCAAGCCCCAAGAACAGCGCCAGGCTTTATAGCCAATTTGAGATATTGGCCAAACTGTGGAATTGCAACCACCAGGCCCATCAAGTGATGCCATTGGGCCTAAAAAGACTTTTTTCCATAGACTTACATTTTGAAAGAGATGTTTGTAAATCAGCGGATACATTATTTATTTATTTAGTTAGTTTTTGAGCATCTCAGCCACCTCAGGATTCAGTCCATTCAGTCTGATAACATTTAGAGAGTCTAGAAGAGCCTCACAATTAAATCATTTTATTCCCATTCAAGTTAGCAAAGCACTAAACAGGAAGTTAGCCACTCGGCCGATGGAAGTCTCTAGCACGCCTGCTCTATGGGCCCAATGATGCAGAAGCATTGCAGGTAATTTTACACATGGAAGTCGAACTTTTTTGGCTTTATGCGCCACTGAACAACTTTCGTAGGAATGACCGGGGCCTCACCTCTGCCGCCCTCCAGTGGTCAAAAACCAATAACTAATAGATTAATCACTAATGGAAATAATTACTAGTTGCAGCCCTGTTTCACCAGTGAGGGTTAGATGGTAATGTCGGATAAAGGAAAAGTACTGTGCTATGGTTGCTTGCAGATTAATATGCACACTGATTTATGATGGTGGTTAAACTGCTGACCAGAACTCTGTCTGAACTGTTCTGTTATGTGATTTTAATGGATACCTGCCAGCCAGCCAGAAACACGTTCCTTCAAAGCCCTTTCAACCCGTATTATATCCTCTCTTGGATCCCCCAGTTCGGTATCTTTTCTAACATGATTTCAAAAGGAGAATCTATGAGATGAAAAATGTTTATTTGATTCCCAACATTCACATGGTGTGCATTTTGGTACGCAGCAGTAGGACACAGCTGGGCTGCTCCTTCCACCCTGAGTATTGAGTCCAAATGGCCTTGAGGGGAATGAGGCGAATCATGAGCACTTCCACACGCCTTATTATACTGTATTAAACTGTGTAATTTGTATGTATTTGTGTGTGTTTGCATAGTGACTTACGGCCCTTATTTTGTGCATGTTCATACATCTTGTACATAAGAATACTGTAATTATTTGACTGACACTGTGTGTACTGTGGTAACCTTACAATACAAACACCACTCTGTCTAACAGTATCACTGTAACTGTAACGTTGCTGTAACATTTGTCGTTAACTAACCTACCTTTTCCACTCACACAAGTTTTTTATTTTTATTTTGTAAGTGTCGTCATTGCACTGGAAGCGTCCGAGAGAAAACAACCAGAAAGGAAAAACGTCTGGGAAAAATGAAACAAATCAACAGACGGCAGACTTTTAAAAGGCGAGCAGGATGAAGAGAAGGAGGTCTTCTGCTTTTGTTTTCTGTTTCCCAGTGCCTTTGCTCTGTGCTCTGTGGTGAAATACACTGCCGTTTGCTGACATGCTGTTTCTTTATTTGCTCAGTGTTGGCGTCTGTGTGTGTTTGAGTGTGTGTACGTCAAAGCAAGAGGTCAAGACCTTCTGCGTTGGAGAGTGAAAAGTGGTAGAAAGAGTAGAGGAGAGGGAGGGGGGATAGAGGGAGATGGCAGAGGGTTTAAAAAAAATAAAAGAGAGAGAAAATAAACTGAAATGTGTTTTTCTAATGTCCTGGGGCAGTTTTATGAACATGAGAAACCCTCTTGCAAAGCCAGAAAGCAGGGAGCGGATAACTGATGTCATGCTGATGTATAGCCTGGAGGCTAACCGTAGGCTCTCATTCCACATAATGTAATACGAAGCTCATCAGCCAGAGCTATCAGACTGCTGGGCAGAAGAGTGGAGCTGAAGTCGGGCGATATCTCCGTTACCCAGCGGAGTCTGACCTTTGCTTTGGCTTTTAATCAGAGGAGCTCTGATACATAACAGACTGCACGTCTCAGGAGACAGGGTGGGAGCCCAGAAACAACTAGAGCGGAGTTTTAGCGTTGTTTCAGAGACCACTGGTTAACATAGATTTATTTACACAGGAAGTCAGTAGATTGTAATTCAAGGTCTTCACACACCACACACACACTGCAGAAACACATGTGACACCGTATAATACGGCATCTATGCAACCCAAAAAAGACAGAAATGACCCTGTGAGTGCCAACGCTCAGACTGGGGGGGAGGGACAGACAAAGGGAGGAAGAGAGAATACAAGAAAAAGTAAGAGGATAGAGGGAGGGAGGAGGGAGAGAGGTCATGTTTCCTCTGTTGAGCCCACTTCCTGTCCTGATCCCAAAATGGAGAGACTGTAGGAACGACATCCCACTGCCTGTTCCAGTCTCCCCCTCCCTCACACACACACGCACAGGCACACACACATCAGAGAAACCCAAACCAGCCTCCCGCGGTATCCTACAAAGGAGATGAGAGGAAAAAGCAGGGAGCAGAAAAATATATCCCCAGTGGTCTCTGAAACATAAGGAAGCCTTCGTTTATAGAGGCAGAGAGGCGCAGGACATTTTGTCCTCAAGTTGCACTGGACCATGTATGGCCTAGATGTGTGTGTGTTTGTGTGTGTGTTAAATTGAATGTAACTTTGTGCTATACAGTCATTACCAAAACATCAGTGCAGCGTAGCTTAATTC